TGACCTGTCTCTTTCTAATGGTAAATTTGAGTAAGGGTTTCTCAAGCTTCTTTATCTTTTCAAAGAGCCAGTTCTTTGAGTCATTCAGATTTATTTTGGTTTTTAGTTTGAATTTCATTTCTTTTCACTCTGATCTTTATTATTTCTTTTCTTCTTCTGGTTTTTGTATTGTTTTGACTTGTTCTAGGACTGTGTTATGAATCATTATTTATTTGCGATTCAAGCTGACCTGGGCTGAGCCTAGAGAAAACCATGTCCGTCGGTTTTGTCCTTGCCACATTCCTGAATGGAGAGGCTTCCTGACCACAGAGGACAACCCTTCACCACGGATCTGCCTGTGTGGCCTTGTGTGGCTCCATGCTCAGCTCATCCCAGGCGTTGCTTCAGGGCACTCGTGTACTCTGCTGCAGCCATCTAAGCCTTAGTCCGAGGAGTGGGGGACCCCAGGATCTGAGGTTCTAAGACTTGTGGATCACGTTTGCCTCTGTCTCCCTGAGAACCGCCACCCGGGGAGCATCCCAGCAGTGTGTCTCAGTCAAGAACCTAAAGCTTTGTTCTCTGGAAGAAAGACTGAAGTCCAGAAAGTAGCCTGAACTTTTGGTAATTCATGATTTCCATCATTGGCTAAGCCCCACCCCTGCCCAGCCCGCAGCCTAAGTGGTATGACCAGCCTGGGCTACAGGCATCATCTCGTGGCCTGGGCAACATCTCTCTATGGTGCAATTCCCTTCCCGAGAAGATGGTCAGTAGTTTCTAGTGTTCATAACCCAAAGCCAAGACTTACAAATCACCATCCATGCTTCCTTCAGTATTTTATATGCGTATGTATATGTTCTCATAGCAAAGTATCTGGTTCTAGACATAATAGAAAATTAGTCATATGTTAAGCCTTAAGGAAGTAAATATGATCCAACTGATTTTTAAATTTAATAAATCCTTTGGATAGGGGTATGGCTCACTGATAGAGTGCTTGCCTAGCATGTGCAAGGCCTGGGATTAGATCCCCGGCACTGAAAAAAAGATTGCAATAGATCTATCAGCATCTCCTCAAAAATATTATTTAGAGTGTTCACATTCTAATTTGAGATATTGCTTTGTCCTGCTGTATAATACTATGCTTTAGGAATGCTACCAAAACACTGTGCATTTGACCCGGTTTTAAAAAGATAAGAGAGTTAAGTTCTTTGCCCAACTTTTGCTCATTATCCAAGATTTTAAAATTTCCCCTATCTTGATTTTAGAATCAAACTGACTTTATGGGACATACTTGAATATAACAAAGTGCATGCTTTTTATGCAGAGATCTTGATGAATGGACACATGTATACAGCTGTATTATTACTACTGCATTGTTGCTGCTACTGCTATGGCATTGATCTGTCAAGGCACAGAAGACTTCCATCCCTAGGGAAAGTTGTCTCTTTCCCCTTCTCAGTCATTCACCCTCTAGTCACTCACCCTCTTCGGAGAAGAAGACTTTAGATTTTTTTTCTCTTTTCTCACTGACTACTCTTTATCCCAACATAATCATCTTTCTTTCTCCCTCTGTCATTTCTTGTAGCTCCAGCAGCCTGACAATTTGTTGTGTTAAAGCACTGAGCTGTTTATTTTGGATCTAGTGACTATAGGTGGGAACATGCCTCATTACATATCTCTTTCTCAGCATTAGCTTAGTCTTCTGCTCCCCCAAATTCCCATCCATGCACCCACTCACCCACCTTTTCATCCATCCATCCATCCATCCATCCATCCATCCAGGATATTGAGATTCCACTGAGAGCTATCAGCTGGATACCAGAAATCCTGCCTCATCTGATTTATGTTGTAACAGGAAACACAATTTAAAATTATGCCGAAAAGATGATACATATTACAAGAGGAAAGATAGGGCATGATGGGAGACTCAGCAGGAGTAGCTAGCAATGATTCTCAGGAGGAAGAGAGATTCATAATGGAGATCTGCAGGGCAAATATTGAGTCAGTTAATTATTTCAGTAATATTTACTGAACACTGTAGGCTGGACACAGTAATAACTGCTAGTGATTCAGAGGTGGGCAAGGCAGACCTGGATCTGTTCTCGTGGGCAACAGATCATGGTGTAGTTAGCTGGGCTGGGTTGGGGCAGTGGCTAGTTATCCAGGCAGAGGGAACAGGAGTACTGCTGTACAAGGGAAAGAAAGTGTAGTAAGAAACACTGACAGTTCCTTGTGGCCTGAGCATGAAAGCTGGCCAGAGGAGGTCCAAAGGCTATCAAAGAGAGAACTATGAAGCTGCGTGTGGTGGGACATATCTATGATCAGTCCTGGCACTCTGGGAGGCTGAGGTAGGAGGGTTGCAAGTTTGAGCCCAGCCTGGGCACTTTAGTGACTTAGCGAGACTTGTCTCGAAATAAAAAATACAAAAGGGCTAGGGAGGTAACTCAGTGTGAAGGCTCTGGGTTTAAGCCCAAGAAATGCCCCAAATAAGGGAGTGGGGGCTAGGAATAGTGACTCCAGCACCCCTGGGCACTCACGCTCTGTGTAGAATGGTAATCAAAGCCCAGTCAGGGTCTTAAAAGAGAAAGAAAGGCTAGGTGTGGGCAGCACCACATTAATCGCTTGCAAATACTGTCTGGGCCTTCCATAAATTTAGCCATGACTAAAAGTACCTTTCACAATCTCAGCAGGGAAGGGCCACTAAAGACAAGCAGGTATGTGATAAGAAAATCTATCTACCTAACTGCCATGTAACTTTTCAATGAGTCACAGAGTGAGCCATTTTGAATGTCTATTAAACATTGCCAAAAGTGGTGACGTACTTGAAAAAACACCCTTGTTGTCCTACTTTAAAGTCAGGAATCCAGAGAAGTGAGGAAGGAAGAATATTTGTTACTCACAGTTGACCTTATTCTAGAGTAATTTTAAGTAAGTTATTTAAGCCATTTCCATCAGAATGGATGACCAGATGGATGTTACTGAGCACACGCTCGTTATATAGAGACAAACATTCTAGAGTTCTGCCAACACCATGAAATATGACATATTCAGGCTGCCCACTCATTTTCACTCCTAATATCCCTACACAACGCATTTAATCTGCTCCAATTTAGCACTTGATAAAATCTATTTACTTTGTAGTGAGTTCTGTACACTTCACCTGAAATCAAAGCTCGGCAAATCCAAGTCCCTGTGGGTACTAATTCACATACCATTCTGAAAATAAAAAATCCTAAGTGCTTGCTGACTGCAAATCAATGTTTATAGCCCAAGGATTAATAGCTGCACGAATTGTCAGGCTCCTCTCATTGGTCCCCACCCTTCACTTGGATTTAGCATATATTGCTATTTGCCATAAGATTTGTAATACGTTCTGCCAAAACATACTTAGGAAATACACCCAATTAATAACAAAGAGTATGTTCTGCGCGATTCTGCCTGTTTTGTGTTTGTCATTTTGCATTTTACCGAACTCCTCTCAGACAAAGGAATTTGTGAGTCTAGGGCATGTTCTAAATTGGGGCTCTTCAGCAGCCTGGTAACCAATAACCTAGTGCACTATGGTGCTGATTTCAGAATTGCCAATTGCACCTACTGGAGAAGCACTCAAAAGGATTGTCCATGGTAAGGCTGTTGGTGGACTTGTGATTACTGCTTTAGGGTCTGTCAGTGCTAGGGTTTGGATTGTGAATGTCACCAACTGCTGGCACTATTGAAAGAGGGTGAGAACCAGGATGTGGGGCCTAGGTGGTAGAGGTAGGTCACTAGGGGAGTGCCACTGGAGTGCATATTTGGTCTCTAGTCCTGTGTCTGCCTCTTGTCTACCATGAGTGAACTGCTTTGCTTTACTACCTTCTTCCATCACCGCTTTCTGCCTTGCTACAGGCCTGAAGCCATGGGGCTGGTTGACCATGAACCAAAACCTCAGAAACCATAAGCCAAAATAAACCTTTCCTCCCTTATGTTGATTGTTTCAGGCATTCTGTTATAATGATGGAAATCTGATTTGCAGTCACTTTCATTGGCAGTGTAACCACCAATCCCTCCACTTGCAGTTACATAAGGGGACCACTGAAAGTCTGAGTTGACAACACATTTCTTCCAGGCTTGTTTATGAACTAGAATCCTATACCAGAACCCTGCTCTGTCTACTCAACAGCTGGCTCCTAGTCAATCAAAATGAGATAAATGACAGCCCCAACCTGTATTTCCATTTGCAAGAATTTCCTTCCTATTCCTAGTTGTTTTGTTAGTGAATCTGCTCAATTATCAGACTTTACCAGCTGGAAAAAGACGTGGATTTTATAACATGCTAAAACTTGATCTTAGCTTTAAAACATGCAAATGCGTTTGAGAAAATGACAGAATGGTGTGCCTCATAAAAGAGAAAAAAGCAGCATTTGAATTTTCACGGAGAAACTCCTTATGTAAATCTTCATCAAGATTAACATCATTTAAAAAATTTTGTCAAATACATACTGGTTTATTGAGGCCCTTGTGCACTGGCCAGGAAGCCTACCACTTCACGAAGCAAGAGTTCCAGAAAAAAGGCTGTTGAAATTTCAAACAGAAGACTTACAGACAGATCTTCTGAACATAACTGGCCTTTATAATTTAGCATCTTCCATGGGCAGCCTTCTTAACAAAATAAAACTCTTCAAATTAACGATCAAAACTATTATTAGGGGCTGGGGTATAGAGCACTTGCTTAGCACGTGGGAAGCTCTGCTTCTGATCCCCAGCCCTGCAAAGAAAAAAATATTATTGTGTGATGGAGATACTGGTGAACAAGGCTTTCATCACAGTGTCATCTACTTGTGTGAGGAATTTTGATTTCAGTTGCACTGGAACTTTCCCTTTTCCCGAGTGATGTGTTGCTAGTGTGGTACAGTAAATGGTTTGTGAGTTAGAGCACAGAAGTAGGGTGCCGAAGTTCAAACAGCCCAAAGAATGTGTCCTCCTGAGGCTGCAGAACTCAAAGGGTTCACAGATGAGTCCTAGAAATAAGATGACAAACACGTAACTTTTCCGTAAAGAGCATATTGTGCCGATTTATTATAGAATGCAGTTAAAAAAAATATTTTGAGGTTAGCCTCTTCAGTTTAAAAGCACTTAACTAGAAACACTTGAACAGCTAGGCAACGGTCTCTCCCTCCCACCAAGTACTGTAAACAGGTTTTGAGAACATTCGATTGATTTCTTTTTATGAACAATCAAAGAATTTAATGCAAATTATCTGCTTCCCAAAGAAAACTATCTTCCAGATTTCCAAAGCATGCATTGTTACTTGGCATTAGGTATTTCAAAATGACAAACTTTGTAATGGTATCGTAAGGCCAAAATATAATACCTATTTACCAGACGTACACATTACAACTAGAAAAAATTACAAATGTTCACCTAGTGTAACAATTCCATCAGGAATTAATGGGGAAAGGCACTGCATCCCTCTCGTCAACCCACAGCTACTACTCATTTTACATGCTTTGAATTCAGTCTGTTAAACATGTGAACAGCATTTTCTACAACATACAATTCACAGGTAGGTTAATACATCTTACACTATTTTTCCACCGCTGTATTTTTTCACCCGAGTGTATAACAGGTATGAATATATGCTACCAGGTTTATTTACACGTTTACCTTGATGTTGCCATGGGGTGAAAAACCAACTATTTCAACCAACGGTTCCCCAAAAAAGGCTTCTGGCTATGACTCATGTATAGAAACCACTACATAAAAGAGACAATGAAAACCGATGTCTGACCCCAAACATCTAAACTAAAATCTCTCACCCGCTACAAGTTGGCAGTGAAACTGCTATTCTCTGAACTGTGTAAGCTAAACTCTACAAAGGAATTGCAGATCAACTTCTTCAGTGAAGCACAAAGCACATGTTGCACTGGTAGGAGGCCCAGTGCATGAGTCCCAGATGGAATCCACTCGAGCACTGCTGCAAAGAGCCTGCCATCTGTGAAGGTGATTCTGTTTTCCAAAGCTTCCTAGTTTCCCAAAAGATGAGAAACTGCAACAGCGTAACTTCATACACGAACAGAGGTTAGTCGTGCAGATCAGTAATATACATGCACAGACGTTAGGACATGAGGGAAGAGATGAAGCACTACAATTTCCACATGGCACTGTGGTTGTCATCACAACCTTTCTGCTCTAGACACTCGGTGGCTTTGCATGGTGCCTCTTCCTGGGGCGGGTGACCCTGTGCATTGGTTAGAAACAGAGAGCAAGCCCTGGATCCCCAGATCAACCTGTCCTTGGCAAAAACAGAACCTATCAGAAAAGAACAAGTACAAAACACTATTGTTATCGGTTTTCTCAAGACGTCCCCAGATGTCCTTGTGCGATCACCACGAACTCAGTGATTGGCCCAAGACATTCCTGGGTGCCACAGACATGGACTGAGGTGCAGCATTAGAACAAGGGGACAGAGCCTCGATTCTCTTCTGAGCAACATGAACTGGAATTTCTGCAGCAGCAGTCACGGCTGCCACCTCCAAAGCTGTGACCGGCCACTTCCACAGTAAAACACTCCTCCCCGTGAGTATGATTCTAAACTGCTTCTTCGTCCGCCTGCCGGCTCAGCTGAGGTGGATAGGTGTGTACTCCGGCCTTCTCGTCTGGATGATTTTTGGTTTGGGCCTCCTCATTCTTTCCATCTCCTCCTCTTCCTCGTTCTCCTGATCGCTCTCACACACGTGGACCACCACACTGGGCGTGGTGTCAGTTGCCGCATGCAACTCGTACTTCTCTCCTAGAGGAAGGGAATAACTTCAGGGTAACTCGGACAAGTCACTGGAGGGCCAGAGGCAAAGTATAAATGGAATGACCTCTGGGAGTCTGTTCGGCCACCTCCTGCCTCCATTCAGTGGGGTGGAGAGACACAGCCAGACATATTTTGCAGCTGTATTTTTTTGGTGGCTTATTAAGAAAAAAGTATTAGCCTGGAATATGGCTCTGCTTTGGGTGAGTGAGTTCAGACATATGAAAGGAGTAAAAGGAATGCATATTTTTGGTGAGAACGTCTTCTGTCCAGCAGGCAGCCTACACTAACTACCCAGAGGACTCCTCTTCTCGGAGTTTCTCCCAGTGTGGTCTGAGGAGCATCAGTCCAGGAAATGACACTGGAAGCCCGGGAGACTCCCAGTGTACACCAGGGACCTGCGGACACGCGGAGGCCCCGTGTGTGGATGCAGTGTGGCTGCACTCAACCCAGTGTTCCCTTGACTTTTCTGATCGCACCACCCTCTGTCCTGTAACCACCGACTCTGAGCCAGGAGCACTGTGCTGTGCCAGCCTAAGTCTGACCAGGCTCAGCAAGTTCAGACCACTCTGGTCGGGCAATGGTTAGGGGAAGCTTGTGTAAGTGAGAAATGGGGCCATGGATGGTGGAGCTGGGGCACCCCCGAAGGACCTCGCCTGGCTGCAGGGGTCCTTTCCTTGGATATGCTAGGAGGCAGAATGCAGAGTGGGATGTGCGCTGCCCACTCATTTAGGACTCAGGGCTCAAGGGCAGGGCGTTTCTCTTCCTTATGCACCTGAGCTCTTCCTCTGGGTAACAGGGACAATAAAGACATCAGCCTCATGGAGCTAACCGTGGATGAGTGGCTCCACCCAGAACACTTAGCCCCTAGCTCCCGAGTCACAGGTGTAACAAGGTTACCTAGGAAGGCCTGGGGCATAAAAGGAAGGCCTGGGGAGGTAGCTCATTGCAAAGCACTTGCCCACATGTGTGACCTCCTAGGTTTGATTCCTAGGCACTGCAAAAAGGAAAAAAAAAAAAAAGAAAAAAGGAGGCTGATGGCTACAGGTGGGGTCTGAGGACTACAGAGATGCTAGGGACTTGCACGGGGTAGGAGGGTGGACTCAGCTGGCTCCACTCCAGGGTGGGTAGGGCTGAGCTGTCCTTCAAGGCTCTGTGGATTGAAGTTCTCTGAGGTTCCATGTGAGTGAGGAGGCAAATCACCAGCTTCCATGTGCTTCTCAAGGTGGCTGGTTTCCATGAATAAGGGACAGCCAGGGGCAGCCCCTGAACGTGGAGCATGGTATTTTCACTCACAGAGAATGTGGCTACCCTGCCTCTACCCCACCAGGGAGACTGGAAAGTTGTTCCAACTGCATCTTAAAAGGTGAAGTAGGCTGGGCTCTACACTAGGGAGTGAGAGGTCAGACAGGTCACTGAAACCGCTGAGAATGTTGGGCGTTCTCTCTCTCTCTTTCTGTTTTCAGTAGTAAGATTTGAACCCAGGGCTTTTGCACTGAGCTACACCACCAGTCCTTTTTTATTTTGAAAGAGTCTCACTAAGTTGCTAAGTTGCCCAGGCTGGGCTCAAACTTGAGATCCTCCTGCTTCAGCCTCCCAGAGTGCTGAGATTACAGGTGTGTGCCACCATGCCTGGCTAAACACTGCTCTCTTTACACAACCTTAAGTGTCTGCCAGTCAGCCTAAATCCAGAAAGTTTGGGGATTAGGACTATATTTGCAAAATCTCTGCAATCCTGCAAAGTACACTGAAGTATAAAGTATGATTCAAGTTCAATGCTAAGTAAATCCCAAATAAATTGATTTTATGGCATCTATTTTCTAGACGGGCTTCTCCACAGCCTTCTGTAAAGGAGTGGCAGATTCTAGAGTGTGAAGACTTTTAAATCACAGCCCTTCTTGTCTCTGGAACAGGCTGGCAGCTCTCCCCAGTGGAGAGAAAGCCCCTTTACTCCCATCTCTAACAGAGCAGAGACTCGAACCCTCAGCTTTGCTGCTGCACATTGCTGTGGAGCACCACACACTTCCTCCCACTGGCCATTTTTGACCTTGACCTGAAAAGCAGTAAGTAACATGATTCTTACCTTATTCCTGAGGGGCTATTTCCATTTGGGCAATGTTTTCAGAAATGTAATCTTTCCAGCATGAAACTGCTGATGGTTTATGAAAATTAACCCTGAGACCCAAGGGAACATCAGATTGCTGGTCAAGGAGAAAGGAGGAGCTGACGGTCTCAGCATTTATTAAGTTGGCTCCATGGTGGGGTCAGAAGGGTGCTCATACCTTTCACCCCAAGATCCTCCCTCCCATCTACTCCCTCTACCCAACTGTGGCATATAAGTCAGGAACCATGGCTATTTTATTGTTTTCAAAAACCATGCACGGAGCACTGGCTGTGGGCCAGACACTGTGCCACTCGCAAATGCCTAAGAATCATTTTATGGACAAGGAACGTAAGCCCTTTCCTCACTATGGTCTGTGATTCTGTTTCCCTTACCTGTTAAAAACGCCATATAACAATCAGATCAAAGGGCAAAATTACCCTGAAAAAAATGAAATTTCTAAAAGGAGGATCTGTTTTTCTTTTGCAAAGTCATATTCTCATCTCTACCTGGAACAGCAGGACCTGTGCCTCAGGGTGAGCGGACAGATCCAGGGGACATCTGTGGGAGGAACCGAGAGCACAGGGCCCATAGCAGCTGTGACTCTTACACACGGCCCCAAGGAACACACACTCGTGCACAGGTGGCAGTGAGGTGGAAGAATGCAGGTGGAGGCAGTTCACAAGACACTCGCACTGGACCATGGGGGAGCTGGGGAGGGCAATGGAGACGCCTTGCTCTGCACAGGTCAGCACCATGTCTCGCCTTAACCACACTCTCCCCAGGTGTCCCTGCCTCTGCCCACCTGAGGTTGCTGCTTACCTGGCCCCAGCTTGGAGATAGCATATAAAAGATCATAATTTATGACTGGAGTAGCATCTTCCACTTGTTTCCAACCAACCGGCGGGGAGGCGGGAGGAGAAATCAGAAACTGCTTGTCTGGATTGGGTGGAGCCAGGTGTGAGCTTCCTATGTGTAAGGTCTGAGGAGAGAGAGCAACACTGGTCACTGTGTTGTGAGGGCAGAACTGCAGCAAGGCCACAGCCCCTTAGGACATTCTGGAAGGCAGGGCTGCAGGAGCAGAGTGGCCAGGCAGAGCAGGTGATTGCTGGGGTGATTGCTAAATCGTCCGGCAGGAGGTGAATGGACTCTGGTTATGGTGCAGATATGGTGAGGACTTGTGGGGACAGAAACTGTCACTAATTATGGGTGAGCTATTCAGGCAGGAACTGAATGGAGCTTTCAGTGGAGATGGAAAAAATACAGCCACTGTTGTCCAGGTCAGAACAGATCTCAGAGTCAATTTCAACCGGCTTCTCATGCCCCAAAGGCAGAGTGCAGGGCCAAGGGCTACGTGACCACTCTGTCGGAAATGAAACTTTTTCAGGGGGCTGAGGCAGGGACAGGGAGCCAGGCTCCTACCCAGCAGCACCCCTATGCTTCCCTCCCTCCTTCCAGGGCTCCCAGAAGAACCCAAATATCAAGAAGGACCAAAAAGCCACCTTCCCAGAGATTAAAATAATATAATAATAGTAATAATAATAATGAGAAGGAACAATAACCGATGATCTGAGTTTGGTCTTAGAAACTGCACTAGTGATTAGAGGGCTGCCCAGGCAGATCTGACAGCAAAAGCTTGCCAGATTAAGTTTTATTTATGCTTTAAAAGGTTTCCCCCCACATTTTTACAGTGGATGTGAGGGCTGCAGAACGTAGTTTGACAATCAGAAAGTCATGGAGCTCCTAAGTTATTACTTTCCTAAGAGATCACTCAGTGCAGAAAAGAGCGCACTCCTAGAGGAAGCCAAGGTACCCAGGGTCAAAGTCCTGTCTGGGGCCTTCCCAACTGGCACAGAGGTAGATGGCAGGGCACCTGGGTCAAGTCAGGAGAGCTTCCTCCTACTATCAGGAAGCTTCTGGACAGGGTCCCTCCCATCCTGGTTGGTGGGGAGGCCAGAGCCTGCCAGGGACTGGCATCGCCTGGGAAGTGGGATCTCTCCTCTCCTGCTCACGGGCAGACACGGACATGGGAGATGTCAATGCCAAATGGGAGCTGCCTTGGCTCCCAGGGATCAATGCCCTGAAGTCCCTGGGAGGGAGGAAAGTGGGAGGGTGGAGGGCAGGAAGAAGAGCAAACCCACGCAGTCTCTCCTCTGTACATCATGGATGCTGTCTCTGGACCCCAGCTCACAGGAAGCTTGCTGACCATCTGCCACCTGTCTGCTTAACCTGTGTTTTCTCCATCAGCCCGGCCTGGCAGCCCGGGTGGATCTGCAGCACATTCGCAGACTCCTGGTTCTCCACAGCATGAGGGCGCTCCTGAGAGGCTGAGAACCTATGCAAGCTGGGAAGTGCCCTGGTCTGCTTGGCTGAACCTGTGAGCAAAGTCATGAAAAGCTGCCGCCCGAACCCTAGAGTTCCTGAGCTGCCGTGTGCACAGCAGTGTGGCTGGCCAGCTCCCTGGGTGTACAGGAGGGGCCTGCTTTCTCCAGCTCTACTCAACCCCAGGAGGTTGGGGGCTGTTTCTGTGGTTCTTCTCAAATTCACCTTGATGTCTTCTTAACATAGGGGAGAACTTGCATATTGAGAATATGAACTTTGCCTTTCGCAAGATGAATTCTTTGGGGTCATCAGTACAACATAATCAATGGATAAGCTGCTTTAAAGGAGGATGGGAGAGAACAGGAAAGAGCACGCATAGTGAAGACCCCAACTCACCTGAGCAAAATATAACTTCATTTCCTTCCCTAGAAACTCAGTCTTATGCAGCTGCAGTCTGGCATCTGCTGCAGACAAGGGGTTGCTGAAGTTTATTCGGACACGTTTGAAGCTCTTAAAATACTGAAAGGTGATATCCTTGTCGTATGTCCTAAAGAGGGATTCAAATTTGGCCTGAAAAACAACAATGAAAGTAAAAAGTTAAATTTTACTGCACGTGACCCTTGAGTGTAGGACTTTATTACATCTCTTATTGAAGAAGTGAGTTAGTGATCATTTCAAGAACTCCTAATTTCCTTCTTAGAGAAGAAAAGCCTGTCTCTTCAGAAAAGGCGCTCCCGTCCACGGCCTGATTGCTATGCCAGGGATCAAATCTATGCTAAGGTTGTGCTCTACCGCTGAGCTACACCCTGCCCAACACACTGCCCTTTTGAGGCCTGATACAGATGATTTTAAAGGAGGTAAGAAGATAAGATTACTAAATTCATCTCATCAGCAGAACAATGAACACTACTTAAACCTTCTTAGGATAAAGTTCCTTCTAAAGTGGAATGAGTATTTTCCAAGGAGGTACAGTTTGGTAATTCATCATCCCTGGTTTGTACAGTCTTTCCTAATCTGGCCAGATCTAACTCTGCCCCTCAGCGCAGAGCCACATTGTCTATGTTAAGTATTTCCTTAGGGTTTAAAAACACTGTAGCTAATTTGGAAAAAGAAATGCTTTCTTTTAAATTGAAGAACAATGAATTTAAGAATCTTGCAGTTCTTAAAAGGAAGTAGTTTAAGAAAATTCCCACGATTGTTTATCTTAGTCAGTTACTCTTTAACTCTCTAAAATAATACTGGTTTAAAAATTAATGTACTGCAAATGAATCATTTCTGCATGCTGGCTTTCGTACAGGTACATGCCTCACTCCAGTGTTACATAAGTGAGTGAGAACCAGGGAACATCCTCAACTCTTAGAACAAAAATCTCAAATTCTGGGACATCAGCCTTCTGGGAAGTGCTCTGGGGAGGGTCCCCCAACTTCCCAGCTTGGGAGTGCCTTGGGGGTGGGGCAGGAGACTCCCCCTGAAATGCCTCAGGGTACCAACCAGAGGGAGGAGGTAGTGCTAAAAGGCAAGACTAGCAGATAGCAGGGGCTTTTAGATGCCATACTTTTCTCCAGGCTAAATTCACAGGGCTGCTTGTGGCAGGCCCTATGAGAGGCAGAAGTGGGGGGTGGGTGGCAGCAGAAAGCTTGGATCCTCAGCAGCAGTGCCTTCTAGCAGGTGCAGGCAGCTGGTGCAGGGCAGGGTATGGAGCTCCTGGATTCCCTTGGAAACCTGGGGAGAACCAGTGACGGAGGAACCCTCCCTGCTAGAAGAGCAGAAGTGCAGGACGGCCTGGTGGCTCTGTGCCTCTCCCGGATGGGGCTACAGGTAGGAAAGCAGTATCCTCTAGCTCATTGGTGGGGAACATAAGGCACATGTGCCACAGCAGGCCATCTGTATCATTGGAAGCTCTGAAAGGTTCACCATCACTGCTCTAGCTACTAGGCAGGTGGTTAGGGGGAGTGGAAGCAACTCATGGCCTGCTCTCCGAAAGTTCCTTGGCCTTTCCTCAGCTTAGCAATGTTCCTGTGACTTTCCAGGAGGGTTCTGTAGAGGCACATATGGAAAGGCGCCACGCAGCTGCCTGACAGCAGATTCTACCCAGCTGCCTACTCCATTCGGTCCTCCCACCTCTCCTGGCACGGGCAAGGTTCTGGCATAAGGTGTCTCGGTGAATCTGGAATTTCGCATGACCTCATCAATAGGCATTGAGACCAACTGTGTAGTTTTGAAGTTATGATTCAAAATTTGGGAGAGATGACTTTGATGAATATTTTTAGAATACAAGTCAGGGGACATAACAACAGAGAACTCAGTATCTGCTAAGTCTGGATTACTACATCATTCTCTTATAAAATAATCTTATTTGTTCTAATACCCGAATGTAGTCATTATAGTTGTTCCACGGCATCTCTACTTACTTAAAAATAAATTAATGATTTAACTCACATAAGGTTCACATAGGCACACTGATTTTGTAGTATGTTCATGCATAGAGTGTGATCTATAGTCTAGTTCAGAAATCATGGTCCCAACTCACAAACTTCATACACAATTATGAAGCTATTATTTGGTTAAAAAAAAATCTTCACTCAAACCCTATGTCTTTGGATACAAAGCACAGAACATAAATTCATCCCCCAAACAGAACATACATAATACTCATTCACACACAATATTATTAAAGATCAGTTAGGTAGCTGGGTAGCTACTGATGAAAAATATCTTACACTTCAAACAAATGAGGAAAAAAAAACAAAAATAGTGATTAAAATTACTAATCATGCTAATTACTTCATTGAGGGCTTCTGCCCAGAAGCCGCATCTCACACTTGAATTATTTATCCAGTTTTATTATTTGCAATGGCTGCATTTTTTTCTAGCCAGAGAAATCTCCAAGCTGCAGGTGGGCTCTTATAATTACTACACACACAATGAATTTACAGTATTTCTTTTCTAAGATGAAGTTACATTCAACCGTAGCTGTAAAAGTTTACATCCACTGTCAGAAGACGCCTTCCTCCAAAAAGACGACTTCCAACATACACAGAACGAGAAACACAAAACCCCCAGATCTGCCTTACTAGTCAAGTGGTCCCGGAACCTGAATGTTTTCAAATATTGAGATCTTTAAAAATTCCTCCACAGTTAATTCCTCAGGCAACAGCTTTTGATATTCAAAGCTCCAAATACTCTGGATTTATTTCAAAACCTCTAACCCCACAAGACAGCCACACACACCCACATGTATTTCAGTTAATAGTCCCCACTCCGAGTAATGCTTTGAAAACTCTCGAAAGCCACATTATGGGAGAAGCCTTACCCTGGTTTCACTTTCGCTGAAGATGTCACTGTTGGCCACACAGGCAATCAGGGAGCTAAAGCTGTAGTTAAAGTTTCTAAAATGCATCCTGCTTTCTTATAGGGAAAGCTCTAGGGACCCACGCCGCCTTCAAGCCCCAAGCGAAGTCTCTTTCTTTCCAAGGGACTGTGAGTCCCTTCTGGAGTCTGCCCTTATAAAGCACCAAGGGCCGGCCCCCTGGGAAAAAAAGCACAGCTTCCAGAGCATCCTGTTTGGACAGCAAATTCCTGAGTCAAATCCTGCATGCTCACAGGCAGACAGGGACAAAGTGTAAGTTTCTACTGGAAAGAGGTGGCGTCAACACCTTAGTCATTTTCCCTATGCTAATTAACTCTGCTTGGGGAGGATGGAAAAAACAGCTGAGGTTTGCTTTGCAGCTGCTTTATCCACCCCTCTTGCAGCATAGTTTCCACTGGTAGTAATTCCATTCAGCCACTCAGACAACATACTCCCGGGCTGAATGGGACGACCCTTCTCGAGATGGAAAATGTTACAGAAGAAAAAGGAGGAAGGTCTCAGGCGGCAGTAAACAGCAATTAGCCTCCAGGCAAGTTTCAAGGCTTGGGGAGATCTTGGAAGCTCAAGTCTTGGTGAGTGGCTCTGGACCCCTGTAATTTCCTGAAAGCCTAAATCAGTGTTTCATTTGGGGGCATTAAGAAAAGCATTTTGAAATCTGTCTTGGTCAATGTGCTGTTTTTAAAGAAAAAAGTGGGATTCATTTTGAAATACATTATTTTTCCCCCTCAATTTGAAGTACTGGACAAATGTCCCAATTCTTATTGGAATCCAGAGAGGGATGGTAGGGAAAGATCCTAAAACAATGGTAGGATTTTCATTTGAAAACTAGGGATATGCAACACTTGGGTCATTTTCTAATGGTTACTAAATTCAGGCACAGCCACAAAATTTTAGAAAGCTGGGAATGAAGCTCAGTGGTAGTGTTTGCCTGGCATGCAGTAAATCCTAGGTTCCATTCCCAGTACCCCCAAACAAAAACATTTTAGAGAATCTAGCCTCAGAAATCAGGAAAAGAAACACTAAGAGATCTTGCTTAGAGACTCACAGACTAAATATTTATTATTATTTTTAACAGGAAAGGAAGAATGGAGAGAGTGTACGCTATAATCGAAAAGCCAGTTCAGCAAGCTTCCTGCCCCAAGACGCCTGGTCTGAGCACACAGAGATGCAAGATGGACTCCAGCTCTTTCAAAGGTCCAGGCAATAACATTTCAGCACTTTACCAGCTTCCATCCTATGCAGCTTGGTCCTAGGTCCTTCCACTCCCCCCAGTTTAGAAGTACTCAGGTTATTGAAGTATTTCTAGGGAATGCTTCTCTGGGTCACACAGGGACAGCTCGTAAGCTTCCAAAACCAAACAGAGCCCTCTCATTCACATTAAAAAAACCAAACTTCAAAGCATCATTAAAGTTAGCGAATAATTAAAAAGAATATATTCAAGAGGAAAAAACAAAGCAGTGTTTTTATCCCTCCAAAAAAGAAAAGAAAAAGAGAGAGAGAAAAGGAAGGCAAAGTCTTCTTGGGTGAGTGAGTGTTGCTTAATTTCAATGCTCTGGGCCTTGCTGCCAACTGGAGGGTTATGTAAGAAACCAGTTACGGTGTCTGCTTCACCAAATTAGGCAGAACTCCCAAGCTGAAAAGAGTCCGGAATGCTGTGAGCAACAGGTACACATCAAATGCCTGGGAATGGTGGTATGGTAGTGCTTCGCGGTGGTGGGGCAGAGCCTGCAGCGCGTCCTGCCCCCCCCCCCGAAGTCCCCTCCCTCTGCACCCCTCTCGGCTGGTTCCTTCTGTCTTTCCCTGGAGTCCACCGTGGCAGAGAGCATTCAAGAGTGATCATGAGAGCAAGAGGAGGCTAACTTCATAGTCTTCTTTTTCTTCTCCATTTAAAAATCATCACACAAAGCTCCGGTTCAGTTTCATAGTTTCATAGGCAAATCTGGAACATTCTGTCCATCTGCGACAACACTGAGGGTCAGTGGAATTTACAATTTTATTATACCAAAGAAAGTAACAAGGTAGTTAAAGACTGTTGAACTGTCTTCACTCATAGAAAGGCAGGTCTTCCGCGAGGCTGCTCCCAAAGCCTAAAAAATGTGTAATTCCAAGGTCCCATGCAAAAGTAATTCTGTACCACAGGGAGCAGATCAGCACCATTTGACTCTAATTTAGCCAATGGGCTCTTCCACATTTACATCAG